CACTGAAAACAGCAAATAAAAATCTCTTCCAGTGGCCTATTGAAAGCTTCCAGATATCAGTAAATAAGCAGAAAATGGGTTCTCTCTAAAAATGCGTTCAAAAAGAGGCACAACACCATGTTCAAAAATTAAGTAATCACTTGGGCAAACCATTTTCACATGCCAGCACAAAGGGACAAAACAATTATTAAATGAAAAATAAACACAGAGGTAATAGAAAAGGAAAAGGATAGGCTGGAGTTATGTTCATTTTTTACCCCGAAAATTCCATGGCTTTTAGTTAACTGGGGTTTTCTTCCTATACCCCAAAATAAAAGGACATGCAAGAAGAGATGATAGTAAAGTATCAATTGCAACTGCTAATTAGAGAAATGGCAGATATTTCCTTAACCTAATGCATTTTCATAGTCTTGGTGTTACTGGACAGTAACAACAGACAAAGGGAAAATTATAGGACAGTCATAAAAAATTATGGCTAATGATTTTGCTACCTCTTGGCATGAATGGAGTTCTGGTTTTGCTCCTCAAATAATCTCTAGCTGGAATACCAGCATACTGGCAAATCAGCATTAGAATTCTTAAGAACCCAGCAGTGCCAGGTTAGCAATCTCCACTTTGAGTTCATATTTTGGATAGTTTTAGGGCAGTTGTTTTCCCTGTGTTGGGGGTGGGGGGGAATGGATAAAACAGGAAGTGTCTAAGGGAGCAGCTGTATTACTTCTTCTAAAGAATTACTGCCCCATCATCAGCATATTTAGCTCTTTCCTTTTGTGACTAACAAAAAAACCTCTGATTCAGTTTACTCCTGGGAGAATATTGTAGAATTATTTTTTCTCTCCAGTTCAGTGTCAAAATCAGATCAATGCAGAATTTCAGAACCCATTTCTGACTGTGAAGGGCAAATGCCTAATACTGAGCAGCAGTACTGAGCTTTCAGCATTGCATCACATGAAATGCAGCCAACAATAACAAATGTCCCCCTGTTCCCCATTTCTCATGCCATTCTGTTTCAGTGGCTGGAAAAGCAAGCTGACATTTCCAGCTCTAGGAGTCTGATGCTACCCCTCCAGCCGACCAGGAGAGGAGGCTCTGACACTGAGCAATGGGCTTCCCTCCGGAAAGATACCAGATCGTGCAGCAATCCCTTACTGCGGGAGGAAAACTGCATAATGTCAGGGAATGAGCTTAAAACTAATATATGTAGAAGGGTCTCAAACCTTTTGAAATAGAAGAAAGCTAGGAATCAGTTCAATTTCCATTCTGAAATTTTTCTGTCCATATCTTTCCATATTATTATTATTATTATTATTATTATTATTATTATTATTATTATTATTATTATTTTATAAAAAATCCAGTTTCTATGAAAAGCAAATATTTCTTCTTATGTATCAGGGATGTGAGAAACAAATTTATATTGGGAGATAGAATACCAGGTTTTGCAGGTCCTCTCCCTCTGACAACTCATTTTCTATTTATCTGTTACTGTGACCCTACAGTCATTATTCACCTCTTGCATGTCTGGGAGACCAATTTGAACAGTATACCAGTGAATTTGACCACTCAACATGCCCAAGAAGCAATTGTTGGTTTTAGAGGAAAAAGGGAATGGAGGCACCATGGCACTGAATGACTCTGCTCAAAGACATGATCAAACTGCTTTTGGCTGAGCCAGCTCCTCCTTCCTATACTCTACTTAAAAAGTCAGTCATCTCCATCTATTTTCTCTTAGACACATATGCTCCCAAATTTGGCAGGAAGCAAATCCTAAGTATGACAAGATCCTCACTGGGATTCCAAAATAAGTGTGTTCAGTAGTGTTTCAAAGAAAGCACAACATACAGCCACATTATTAGAATTGACAAGGCTGTCAATACCTTCATGCAAATGGACAAATGTTAAAGCCATGCTTAGCCCTAAAGCTCCAGCTTGAATGTTTTGAACTGCACTGAGCTGAATCTTCATTTTTGTTGCGTCCCCTCTGAAGAGCTGCAGGAACTCATTGACTGATGGCTTAGTTTAAATCCTTGGGCCTAAGCTTACTCTCACTGTTATTTGAATGCTTTCAACATTAACTATGTCCTTTCTCCAGCTGTGCCCCACTTGTGCAAAAGAGTTCACTAAATCAAAAAGATTTGACTAAACTAAATGAAAATTGTTTCTAGTTTGAGATTTATGTCAGATATAGTGAAACTTAAAATGAACCAAGCCTTATTTACAATAATAGCCCCACATACTTATGGTTGCAGAACCCAGATCATCTATAACATTGATCAGCTTTGTGAAATAATGACTGATCTTTGTGAAAAAAGTATGTTTGTTTCCCTAAAATAATAAAAACAAAAAAAAAACAACACAGTGAAAGAAGTGCATGCTTGAAAATTAGTGGAAGCTGCAATCAGATCAGCAATAATGTACAAGAGGATTTATGGTTTTAACTAGACACTGATGTTGCACATGCAGATTGTTTAGCTAACACTGCCATGCCTTAACCTTAGCCAGAGAAGAGGAAAGCTTCTCTTGATGTATGAGGATGACACTGTCACAACTGTCTTGTTATGCAGTTTTTTGCTGATTTTTAAAAAATACCATCAAATTCATTTCACATGACCCATCAGTCTAAACACTGTCAAGCAGACATGTGGAGGTGACTTCTGCCTGTGTCACAGAATTCTTCATTACTACCGTGACACTGTTACTACAAATAAAAAAGGGACAAGTAAAGGAACCTTGGTTTTAAAGTGCATTTACTGTAACATACCTTACTGCCATATCAGCATTACACTGTTTCTATCAATAAAGTATTTTTATTCTGGATTTTGAGATTTCTCTGAGGGCTCAATGCTTTTTTTCCCTTACAAACAATCCCCAGAGAAGACTTATTCACTTAAAACTTACTGTTGTCTATTAGCATAGCCAAGTGACACAAGTGGCACTCCTCTTGATCTGCAAAGGGTCATCGTCCTCCTACCCAGCACTCTAAGGTTACCTCTTGCCCCTGGGTGAAAGACCCTACAGCTAAGATATTCCTGAAAACTGCAAGATAACCTGTTTCCCACTATATCTTCCCCTGGATGCCACCCTTTTCCTCCAGAAAGGTTCCAGTAATTCTCTTTTCCAGCTGCTGGTACTGACTGTAGACTGTTCAGAAAAGGCTGCCTCCAGCAGCTCCTACAAACCTTTCCTGAGCACCTTGCACAGAATCCTCAAGCGTAAGACAGCAAGCTTCTGAAAATGTGTTGAGTCCTTTGATCCTCATCTCTCTCTGAAGGGTTACAATAGGAAATGTAAAGCGTCTTTATGGCTTTCATACCAAGGGTTCTTTTAGGACCTTCAAGAAACCCCTGCAGTGCTTAAAGTTAACTTTTCTATACAGTAGATAGCTAAGGGAGGAAAGTTTCTGTGGTAAACAGCTTTGAAAACCTATGGCAGCAATTTTAAAACTGACACTTGCCAAGGAAGAAATGCACCTAAAATGCACCTCAGAGAGTAACGAAAATCCAATATATAAAAGCTTTATATGCCTATGGAGGAAGGAGACAAAATTTTCATACCTGTGCAGGTGCTATAGAGTCCCAAAAGGACCATTGACCTTTTTGACCTCTATTGACCAAAACGTCAATCTTGTGTTGGTGAATAACTCTGATGAGACAGATCAACTCAATATCTAACAGCATTCTGGGTGGGTCTTCAGGGAAAATGAGAACTCCTTTCCCTTCTTGTCCCTATTATTTTGCTGGTGCAGTCAAACACCAGTTTAAGCAAAATAATGATACATCACTTTTGTTCTAGGAATTTCACAGTACTATTTGGTGACTTTTCCAGTAAGTTCCTCCAAAATAACTTTAAAAATCATGATATAAGTAGAAACAATTCTGAGCAAGATAAATTTTTAATTTCATCTTCCCTTGCCAAAAAAGTTTACAAGATCCAGTCTGAAATAACATTATTTCTACCTCAACTAAAAAATGGCCAGTCAGGTTAATTTAAAATGTCACAAAATAAAACCGAATCAAATTATTTCCCCCAGGTGCACTCTCTTCTGCTATTTTGAACCTATTTTCAGCAGTTTCAGGGATGATGTTACCATCTGTGCTCTGAATTTGGAAAGCATAGTGTTTATAAAAATTACTTAAAATTGATCTATGGAAGTTGGTGTCAAAAACAGTAGAAAATCATCTAATTCCCCAAGTGTTTTGCTCTACACTGCTTTTATTTATATGCATGCTGGGAATGAAACTGGCACTGACAGCAGGGATAAGTTGCAGCAATGGAAACTTTAGCTCCTGTCCGTTTATCTAATCAAATGCATCAGCAATACAAATGCCCTATCCAGAGCCTGAGCCTAGGGATATATACACCATCTTTCAGGTATCTTGGTGTCTCCAAAGATACAGAAGATGAGTTTCCAGGTACAGTCAGTGTTTATTCTAAAATGAACATTTATTTTATGAAAGATGATGTGGTTTGACAATGGAAACCAAGCCATTCATTTCCTCTGCCACTTGCTGTTATTCATTAAATTGACTTATCCTCTTTATTTTTTATTCTCAGGTCTTCTGAATTCTATGATAAGAAGCTTGCATTATATGATGCAAGCTTTCAAATGCCTTCATATCCTCTTTCCAAGTAAGTGTCATTTCAGTTTCAACCAGGATTTGGACTGAGACACATTCTAATGGTTCTCCCCAACAATCTACAAAAGCGAATGTAGATTTTGAGAAGCTTCAGTGGCTTCTTGTAGCCTAGATGAGAACAGTTGCTCAGAATTGGTTAGACCAAATCCCATCAGAGGATAGCTGGATGCTTTGGTCCTGCTAATCAGAAATTATCAAAATACAGATCACTAACACATTGCCTTGCAGCAGTTTTGCTGCCTGTGTATTCATTCAACATTTAATTATTTAGGGCAGGCAAAAGCTATTTCCTGTAATAGATATTTACCTTCACAGCAGGTAAAAATGGTATTCACTTTGGCTGAGGAGAAATGTGTCACTTACCTTCTGATGGGGAATTACAGCCCTGGGAGAGTCAATTCTGGGAGCTGTGGTTGAAACTGGCACTGGACGTTTAGATCTGGGGATAAAAAAAAAAAAAGAGAGAGAAAATAACAGATGTGCAATCTGTACTCTTATTTTTCAGCTCTAATTTCATGCCAAAAAGCTGCTACATCAGGACTGAAAGTTAAGCGTAGCCTAGACTTTTTCTGTCAGTCATCAAGCTTTTCCTACATCCTCATTTACAAAGGTATTAAATGAGAAAAAGTTTGAGAAAGTTTCTCTGAATGATGAAAATCCACCAGTTATGGAACCAACCTCTGACTTGGGAGATCATCTGTTTTCCAATACTTGTGACAAAATGCATTTTCATAGATGAAAGTCAGCCACAACTAGATAAATTCAAATTTGGGCAGCACTCTGGAAAAAGAGACTTAAAGATGTTTTAAAATGCAGAGGCTAAACTTTGGTGCTGAGGCATCTCTAGATAACTCCTCAAAAGACTATTATTTAATAGCTTGAACTGTATAACTACAGCTGCAATTACTTAAACCTCTCTTCAAGAAGAAACACGGGTGTCATTTCAGACAATTGAGTTTCACAATGAGCAGAACACTACTGAATTAGCCACTACAGGCGCCTGTCTTTCACCTGTATTTGATAAATATATGTCCTTGATCATTTAAATAACCCAAAATAAACCCCACTAAAATGCTCTGAAAACATACAGTTTGCCCTTTTATTTGCATAACAAAGAAAGCACAGTGGCAAATGTCATCTGAAAGCACTTCTAGGATGCTCAGGTAAGTGAAGATGTAGTTGTGAGAGGTATTGTGAGAATCTGCCTAGTGGTGAATGTTCCTGAAATCATTCCAGTACATATGGGATCACCAGAAAAAAGGAAATTAAAAACAAAATAATCAAAATAATCAGAATTATGCAAGTAATATCCCATTTCCAACCTACAGATCAGTATTATGCCTCAAATTCTAATCTTTAAAAAGTACATTTCAAAATTAGGACCGGTACCAGAATTAAATAAAAATACTTAAACACTTACAAATCAAGTAGAAGCAGCTAAGACATTTTGAATTGTTTGCTTTAGACAGGAGATGAAGAAGGGAAGACATTGCAGAGGCTTAGAAAATAATGAATGGTAGAAAAAGGGAAATAAAGCTACTCTTGTGGACATTGAATGGAACTGAAAAGACAACATGTAAAATTGAAAAAGGCAAACATCTTTTTCTAGAGAACTTGATTAACCTGAGGTGAAACTCATACTCATTACAAGACATAATTAAGACAATGAGAAGAGCAGAGTATCAGAAAGGATCAAACAGTTATACTTAACAACAAAAAACCCCAAGAGCTGCTTTAGATGGGTTATAATAAGTAAACATACAGACTCTCATTTTTCATGGCACAGCTTAAAAGACCCTCTGTGTTAGGTTCATTATTTCCTAACTGAGGGCTGTGCTGCACTTTCCTCTGAAATACTTACCAGGGGCATCTATCAGAGAGGGAAAGCTGAGTTCAACAGGAACAGGGCTCATCCCCAGTGGCAATCCCTGTATTAATACCCAGCCCCACACTCAGCTCTGGTTTAACTTTAGCTGCCGCACGTAACGCTTTTCCATAAGTAGTAGTGAATGTACAAAAAAAGACCACCTAAGAAAAAGGAGTAATTCTTACAGGAACTGGAAGATTTCCACTTAGAAGGTAGGGAAATTTTGCTACTTTGAGAGCTGAAAACAGAGCTGATATAATAGATGCCTACCATACAACCAGATACTATGAAAATGAACACAGCCTGAGGAAACAATGAAAACTGGCATTTTGTTAAACAATGTGTAATTAACCTGTGAAATTCACTGAAAAAGTGTTCCTGAAACCACGGGCTAGAAAATTGTAATTCATACTCACAGCTGAAATATATCACAATATACTCCAAAGATATAATCATCTGAGAAATAGATACCTTCAAGTTCTAAGAACAAGAGCTACTCACTAACTGCCTAAAACAAACTTCCCTCAGGCAAGTTATCTTCCCTCAGGAATTAATGCCATACTCTTCCTCCAAGCATTTTAGCTTAAGAAGAGAAACAATAGATCATATTTATGAGACATGCACATGTATCATGAAAGACAGCAAAAAAGAGAAAAAAAATCAACTGCAGCTCATAACACAGGACAGCTGAAAACTGACAGTGACAGTTTATCAACACACAAAGATGCAGGGGACAATTCTGCTCCTCTTACCATTATTTCTGAGTAATTTCTGAGTACACCCAGTTATTTCTGTGAGGTGAATTGGTGAACCTGGGCATACCATGTTAAGTGTCCCCCTGCTCTCCATACTGATGAATTTTAGTGCCAGAGTTGCTTAGCACTGTAAATGTTGTTTGCCACATACAGAGGTGTAGTGAACAACCACACACTGCATGTTTGATGCTTAGCTGGAAAACAGTTGTATTGCAGGAAAGGAATTTATTTACCACACTATTCCATCACTTCTGATGTTTACTGTATGTTTAGTTTTTCCTCTCTCATTACCTGCCCACAGAAGATGATGCTAAAGACCTGCATTTCTTCCACATTAGTGATAAAATACATCTGTCATTCACAGTGTTAGCCAAGATTTGTATTTGACAGCAACTTGGAGTTTTCAAGATGTTACTTGAAAACGATGTTCCTACACACCATTGGATGTTTATAGCTTTGATATTTAAAAACAGAATAATGAGGCTTGCTAGATCTAGCAGAGGCTTGCACAAGAGAAAAGGGCAGAAGAGGTGAAATCAATTTGTGGAATGAAATTGTATGCACTTGCAGAATAAAGTGATTATTTACATAAGAGTCATTACTCCTCCAGGAAAAACATCTGCAAGTTCAGAACATTCTTTTTTTCCTCCCTCACTTGCTAGATGGATCAAATCCTGCAGCAACAGAAGTTTGCTTTTCAAGTCATTATGATGGTGCTGTAGCGAACATATGTGTTGACATTTTAATCCAGTGATTGCAAAATTATTTTATTTTATTCCAAACACTTAAGGGCATACCTGCTCAGTAGGGCTATGAGAAGGATGAAAGCCCAAATTTCACAGATGACTATGATAATTTTAGATTTTATGTTGTAATTTTTCATCAAGCTTCTTTTTCATATGCACTTAATTTGATTTCAACTTTTAGACATTTTCTTCTACATTTTCCAAGTTAAAGATGGAAAGAAAAACCTCTTTTCAAAATGAAAACTTGGAACAGTTCCAATGATGATCAAATATTTTTTTTAAAAAATGCTTTTTTTTAAACTCTCCTCCTTTCCACAGATACACTTCTTCTCTCCCTCAATACTGGTTCTGTTTTCTAATGAAGTTCAAAACCAAGATGGATGTAGTTTTGCAAAGCAGTTCAATTCTGATAGCACTGCTCAAATGACTGCCAGAATTTCTTCTTGTTCCCACCTATATAGATCTTTAATTGAAGAGCACTTGACTTCAATCCTGTTAATTTTGTACTCACAACGAAGGTATATTATAAGCCAACTGCACTGAGGAGTGCAACTGCTGCCTAAGAAAAGGCTGCCAAGGAGTTCTGTGATGCACTATCAGTTTAAATTCCATCCTCAGGGGAGCACAATATTGTACTTGCAAAGAGGTGACATGATCTATGAGATTACAGCTCTTTTTCATCTTCATGCAGCTTTTTTGTATTTCATATCTTCACCAGTCAGTGTCTATCTTTTCTAATTCTCAGGACAACTAAAATCAACATTTCTTTTTTACAGTATGCTTTTTCATTTGTCATTTCATGACACGTGAGCACTTATTTACAACTTGGATATCTTAATAACTGTATCCTAGGATTGCAACTTCTAGAAAATGAAAAGGCATCACATGCATATGGAAAGGTAATAAAACATATTAGAGTTTAAAATGCTTAGAAAATACTGTACGTACTTTAGCTATCACCTAACTGAAATGGAGGTATTCTGTAGTAGAGAAGGTGAGCATAGAGCAGGATGCAAAACAAAACATGTAGAATAGGGCCTTCTGATATATATATATATATATATGTTTTAATGCATTAACATTCCTGAAAATTTGCAGGGAATGATGATGGGAGTGTCAGGGAGAGACATAAAAAGATGAAATATTACTCATGGTTATCAATTTGAGGTGTCCATTTAATAAATGCTAAGATATTAATGTGCCAGTTAAATCTTCAGCTAACCAGTGAATTAGGCAGCCAAGCAGAAGCTGCTACCTGTTTCTAAGTCTTGCAGGGAAAATCTTGAGTCCCATGATACTGTGGTGTAATTCTCTGTGCCCTGTCTGGGACATAAGCAAGCACTCTTAGTGACTCCAATGAGAATCACAAAGACAAAGCCCTGAGCATTCCACAGTACTTAAATACAACTGTGATCACTCTGGGCCTAGGATCCGACCTACCTTCCCTCTCTCAGGATATCATCTGTGCCTGCAATAAAAATGAAAAATACTTCCACCAGCACTTTTGCTCTGTATATATCAATGGCAAATGCAAATATTAGCATTTGCTTGGATGACTGATTCATTAATTATTTCCCTGCATTATACCGCACTCAGATTGCGAGTTGGGCAATTACACTTTCCAGACCTAATGTTCATGCCCACAGCAACATAAGGACAAAGCTTGTTAGGCATAGAAGGCATCAGCCCAAAAGGAAGCAGCTATCCAATAAAAAAGCTGTCTGGAAGTATGTAATACCTATTTTCCCTTAGAAGGAATCTGAGTCAGAGGCAAGCATAAACATTAAGGGATAGAAAGGGAAAGTGAAAAGGAAGAAGCCTTGGAGATTTTTGTGAAAGGGAGGAAGGGATATGAACTGAAGCCAAGATGTGAAAAGATGAGATTTTTCCAAGGCTCTCCTGATCTCTCTTTGACCCTTTCTGTTTCTCTGGCATGTGCACAGTCCCTGTTACATCCTCCTAACTCCTCCCCTGCTGTGGAAAACCCCTGCTTTCCTGAACTGCCACACATTCTGCCCTCCAGCCTGTTCCCTCCTGAACAGAGTCACTGGCTGTCAATGCCTCCATCTGC